ACTAATACTTTGTGGGGTAGCCCCCAGCAAATTGCATGACAGCTCACAGCCTCACTTTCTCCCACCTGTAAATGGGACATCTCTTCCTAGGGCAGGAGGCCTGATGCTCAGAGATTCCCAGATAAGAGGGGCAAGCACTGCCAGCTTCGTCACCTGGATCCAGGTGGGCAAGTTGAGGGCAGTCAGGCCCCAGCCAACGCTTCTAGTTGCATGTAAATTAATTACGTGCCATTTTCTAATTATACCAGAAACTCACTTTCCCTTTGAAAATGTCTTTCTATGGGAATTTTTCTTTCATGCTCTATTCTCCACTTGGTTTCCTGTCCACTTTTCCTAAAATATGTTTTCTCTATTGTCCAATGACATTGTGAAAGAAGTTGAAATCCACCCCCAAACCCAGGGTGCCACCTGCTTTCATTCATTCACTCACTGATTCATTCCACAAACATTCACTGACGGGTACTCTGTAACAGGCCGTATGCCGGGTACTGGGACACAAAGGTAAACACCACGCTGTCCCTGCCTTCAAAACTTCCCAATTCTCGCTGACCTCCCAGTGAAGTAACACCAAATATTGGTGAGACAATTTCCCTTCAGAGCCTTCACCAGATCAGTTGTTCTGACCTTTAAAGGAGGCAAAAGGAATAGAGAGAGCCCGCCAACATGATTTGCTCCGTTTTACCAATGGGAAAGCTGAATTCCAGAGGGAAGGGAAGGGAAGGGAAAAGAAAAGAATGAAGTTATTTAATAATAGTGTCAGGCCCCGTGCCTTTTCATTCTCATACATGCCCATGGGAGGTGGGTGTGATTATCACTGCTTTACACATGCAGAAGCTGGCACTTTGAGAGGTCAAGGAGCTCATCCCAAAGTCACCCCGTCTGTACGTGGCAGAGCTGGACTCCAACATTGTAGCAAAACTCTCAGCCTGCTGACTCAGCGACGACACTGCAGGTCACAGGTGGATCTGGGAACCCCTTGCCTCCCAATCCTCTGCCAGGGCTTCTAGGTCCCGTGGTTTTTAAACTTGAACATGAATCAGAATCACCTGGAGGGCCTGTTAAAACACATATTGCAGAGCCCTACCCCCTGAGTTTCTGATTCAGTTGGTATAGGGTGGGGCTGAGAATCTGCATTTCTAACAAGTTCCCAGGTAATGGTGATGATGATGAGGAGGATGCTGGTCTAAGGACCACACTTTGAGAACAGTTTTTAGGTGAACCGATAATTCTCTTCCGAAAAAATTACTCCCTTTCTTCCCTCTCCCCATTTCAAAAGTAATATAGGTTTGTAAAATATATTGTATAAAATGTGCAACATACGGAAAAAATTGGGAGTAGAGACTACAATTCACCTGCATTCCTCCACCCAGAGATCACCACCGCTAAGAGGCTGGCATATCTCCTCCTCTGTTTTCAATTCCTGTGCAGATCGGAAGGCGGATGGCGCGTTGGTGTGGCGCATCCATTTGGCCCTTTGATTAAGACCCCAGCTGTTCCGTGAGATCCTGGGCAAGCTCGAGGAGAGCCCTAAGTCCCCTTCTCTGTACCATTGCATTTATGCTCCCCATCCTTCATCAGATTGTTGGGAGGGTTAACGGAGATAATGTATTTATCAAGCACAGGACACTGTCTGCTGTCGAGTCAGCAGCGCTCCATAAACGCTTGACTGTTGTTTTAACCAAGGGAGAGCTTCCAGTACGCTAATGGTGTTTCAGCCCTGCGCCCCTTCCCCCCCTCCTCTTCCTCTGTGTGGACCCTGAAGACGCTCTTGGCTCCAGGCTCCCCGATTGGCCCGTGAGGGCGGAGGGCAGCCTGTGGAGTGGCAGAAGCCTCAGGAGTGTCCCGTGCCCCAGGTCGCCACCGCCGTTAGGGTTGTCTCGGCTTCTCAGCCCAGTCCGCCTGTTTTACAGCCCCGGCTTAATGAGGGCTTTTAACTTTTCATTCACCACCAGCGTAACTCCGACTTTTAATAACACACCTTGTGCACGACAAAAATTTGCTCCTGGCAATCATGGTTTCGACCACAAAAACCACAGCGGGGAGGCGTTCCTGGTTAACTCTTTCAGCGCTCCAGGCAGTCTGGAGCCCGGGCGCTCCTGGAAATCAGATGGAGTCATGGCCAGAGGCCCGAGGTCTCTGACTGAGACGTTTCTTGTCCTCCTCCCACCTTTGGTCGTGTCTCTCCAAGGCTTTGGGGAAGGAGAAGATTCCAGACAGCGGGTGGGGGCCCAGACTGAGAACCTAGCAAGGTTGTAGAGGGGAATCCTGGTGGGCCTCCCTCACTTCCCTCTCTCCCTTCCATTCCACAGACCTACAATGTGCTGATCACTTAATCTCATAACCCTCATTTCCTTAAGGGGTGGGATGAGATAGCTCAGGTGTGCCACGTAGAATTCCTAAGGGTCCAGGAGTGCCCCAAGGCACCCTGGCTAAGACCCCTGCTAAGGCACCCTGGCCCTTAGCTCCCTCAAGGAGCCAGAACAGCGGGCAGTGCACAGGCACCCGCTGTGTTCCCACCAGAGGACGGCATCAGGCAGGATCCCGCCACCTGCTCTAGCCCCTGGGCAGCTGAAGGCCACCGGCGGGAGCCAGGTAGCTGGGGTGGCTTGCAGGGAGGCCAGGAGGCTGGCGGTCGCTTCCCAGTGGGGCCAGCCCTACCACTGAAAGGCCTCTGTGTTCCACCCGCCAGCCGCCTGGAGCTGGATTCTAACTACACCACTTTGGCCTCCATGCTCCTCAAGACCCTGCCTTGGAAGAAAGTGTGCCTTCCCACCAGAGGCAAAGTAATCAGGCTCACGTTTGTGGAGCTCCTACTATGGGCCAAGGGGCCCACAGACGGGAATGTACGGCCAGGTAGGTGTTTATAATCCCTATTGGACAGAGCAGGAAACAGAGTCAGGGAGGAGAAACACATTTACCAGGATCCTGCAGTTAGTAAGTGGCAGAATTTAGAGTCATAGGCAAGTCCTGTTCTGCTGGGGCTCAAGATGGATGCTTGAGCAGGCCTCTTTACTCAGGACATTTTAGGGGAACGAGGCAGCAAGAATGTGGCCACAGCAGCGCCAGCAGCAGCAGCTCAAAACTTGCAAGCCAAGCACTTGATGCCCTGACCCCCCTCTGCCCCCCAAACACACACACATCAGTTGGGCCAGCTGAGCCCCCAGGCTCTGTCATTGTAATCTCAAATGGTGGCTTCAGAGTCAGCCTGCAATTACTCTGCAGGCAGGCGCAGCTCCCCTCACCCCACCCCAAACGGAGAAGCCTCAGCTGTCAGTGTATCTGACTTCAAAACCAAATCATTAAGGAGGAGAAAAGCAAGCAGCCTTTCTGTTCAAATAACCCAGCTTTAGGACACTTACCCCCTAAGGGGCACCAATGAATAGATTCTGTCTGCGGCCTCTCAGTTTTAAGCAGCAAATCTAAGTGGGACGAAAATACATCACAAGGTTTTTTCTGTTTGTTTTCAAAGTGTGGGAAAATAGAAAGCAAGAGGTTCAGAAATGCTCATTGATTGGTTATTTGTATATGAAGTACCAAGAGTATTATTAGCTTGCCCCTTACCAGGTTTTAAATCAGCAACTTTTCTAAAGTTGCTGGATTCCCCCAACAACTCCGTGAGACGGACACTACCACGGCCACGATTCACAGGCAAGGAAATTGAGGCTCAGGTGAAGTGATTTGCCCAAGGTCACACAGCTAAGAATTGGCAGAGCCGGGACTTCAGTCCAGGCACTGGTTCTAATGCCCCTGCTCTTATTCCGGTTGTCAACACATTGTCAACCCCAGGGAATTCACTCAAGAGAAATCCGATGCCCAGTAATTCACATTATGAACATAGCTGGCTAACCCAAGAGAACCCAAAAGCTTAGGTGATATCATGGAACCCTGTCTGCAGTCAGGACCCACCAACTACTCTGCCCTCAGGTCTTCAAGTTTTAAAAGCAATCTATTGAGGAGTAGCTAGAAAAAGAAAAGATTGTTCAAACCTTGTCTCTGCCCACTCACCTCTGAGGGTAGTAGAGAGAGGAGAGTCAGTGTTTTAGAAGCCTGGCTTCTGCCAGCTCCCTGAGCCCAGGCTAAAGCAGCCCAGAATGCCAGCCTCGTCCCACTTCCTCAGAGGTCTGGACCCCAAACGGGGTACATGGTGAAGGTCAGCCTCAGCCAGTGGGGGTTTTAAATCCCACGTGTGGGCAGGAAGCATCCTGCCAGGCAACAGAGATGAAGGACCTCGCTGAAAACCATATCTCAACTTCCTCGCGTTAGAACTGCCTCTAAATAAAATCAACCACATTTTATCGAATGTATCTTCAGACCTTGGCTCTATGCTTAAGCATTTTATAGCCTTTATCCCACTTAACTCTCTCAAGGCTCCTCCAAAGCATACTTGTACCCATTTTCCAAACGAGGAAAATGAAGCTCAGGTAAGTGGAATGACTTGTCCAAGATCACACAGCCATGAGGAGTGGTCTGGATTTGAACCTAGATCAACAGACTACAGAGTGCATATATTTAACCACTACACTGTAACCTTCCCACTTGGGACTGTTCCAACCCAACAAACAAGTCCCTTTAGAGAAACCCAACTCTGCCTAAGACAGCTCTCAGAACCACCTCAGAGAAGTTCCTTTTGGCAAGAAAATAGAAAGCCTAGATGGGACTGGGACTGTCTCTGATTTCCAAGGCCCCTTCAGAGTATCAGAAAGTGGTGCCGAAAGTCTTCACAGTTTCAGTCCTGTTTCACTAGCTGGCTCGAAACTGCTCAGCAGAGAGGGAAAGGAGAAAAAAAAACACACACAAACGATTTTCCCAGGGAAACACTCAGCTCTCGCTGGAAACCGTGCTTGCCTCTACACGCCAAAGTGAGATCGTCAGCCCATTCATTTACCCTTACAAATTGCTCTGTGAATCCTGGCGCCGGCCTCGCTGCTCTTCCCTCTCCTGGAAACCCCATCCAGCCTCCACGCTCAGAGAGCGCCAGGCATCCACTGATGTTTACTCACTCAAGTTCATTCGACATCTTCCTCCTCCCAGGCTCCCAGGCTCCCAGGCTCCAACGACAGGCACCGGCACCGAAGGCTCTGCTGACCGACCGCTCTTGTCTCTAATTCTCGCCTGACACAGACATTCCCTGCCCAGGGAAGTGTTTGATTTATGTTGAGGTTTGAGTGTCGGGATTTTGCTGACAGGTCGGTTCCTGGCAGCGCTGGTGCTGATTGGCTATGGGTACAGGTGCCGGGCGACAGCAGGTATACCTCAACAGGTGCAGCTGTTAACTCTTCGCCTGCTGAGTGGGGGGCGGAGACATGGGGGGCCGGCTGGGTGGAGCTGGCCAATTCCTCCCTTGGTGAGGGGGTGGGGGGTGGAGATGAGGGTGGAGAGAAATGTTGGAAAGAAGATAGAGGAAAAGTACAGGGACAAACAGATACTTGGCTAAAGGAAATCTCAGTTCCTGATTCTACTTAGTATTCTGGGTACCCAGGAACATTCCCCCCACCCCAAATTCTTGTGCCCCCTTCTCTACCCAACATCACACTTCACAGCCACTGGGAGGAGATAGGATATCTCCTCCCAGGGGGTGTCTGTATAAGTTCCTTTTCTTTTTTTCAGCTTGGTGAGGAAATAGAGGCCAGAGAGGTAAAGTGACTTGCCCAAGGGCACAGGCTAGTGAGTGTCAGAGCCCAGATCTGAATCTTGAATCACTTCACTCCAAGCCTGGCTGTCCCTTGGAGCTGCAGTTGGTGGCCTCAATTCCACAGACATTCATTGAGCACCTGTTGTGTGCCATGCCCTACTCTAGGTTCTGGGGAGACAGAGGCCCAAAAGACATGATCACTGCTCTGGAGGAGTTTACAATCTGGGGTGTGTGTGTGTGTGTGTGTGTGTGTGTGTGTGTGTGTGTGTTAGTGGCGGAGGGTGGGGGAGTAGGGTGGAAGGCAGCCTTCACTTGGTGTGATACAGATCTGAATGAGATGTAAGCAAGCCACATACCTCTGGCCACCACAGGAGGGATGGAAAAGTTGCAGTCTGCCACCTCCAAAGCCTTAGCTAGCTGGTCATTTCACAAACTAATAAGCGCTCCATCCCGCGTTGGAAATAGGAGAAATCAGATGCCTGTTAGACTGAGTAATTGTAGAATAATTGCCGTGAGCTGTCTTCTGTAAAGAACAAGGTTGGTAAACCCAGAAAATCCACAAACACAAACAGGAGAATGCTAGAGCTTTTTTAAGAGCTTCCACCAGGATTAATTTGAAATTAAATCTAAGCCAGAGATCTTGGCATCTTTTTTTTTTTTTCCCTTTCTCTCTTTCTGTTCTCTCCCCTTCCTCCCCCTTCCCTTTTGGCAAATTACCTCTGCCCTGACTTCCTGGCATCCTCACCTTGGCCCCACTCCTTTCTCTCTCAGGGAAGGGCGGGGTTTCAGCTATTCCTGACAATTTGATGGAGGTGTTCAGGGTAAAGTCAGAATCCAAAGGAGCCCTCTTAGGGGTGGGGTCAGGCCTATGGAGGGGGTTGCTGGGTTTGAGAACTGTCAGAGGTTGGCTTCTCACTCACTGGAGGCTGTGTTGGGGGCAGCAGATGGGGCCCTGACAAATAATAGTAAATAGTAATGATAATCGCTAATAAAGCCACCTCTTCAGAGCAGGTCTCTCCACCCATGCTTGTTAAAGCAGACAGTCACTCACCAGATCACACCACTTTATTTTGGTTCTCTGCAAATCCCTTAGGACTTTTTGATAATTTTCTAATTATTTATTGTCTATCTCTTCTGTCTCCTATCTCCACTCCATAAGAGCAAGGACCTGGTCTGTCTTGTTCATTGTTGAACCTCCAGTACCTACTACAATGTCTGGCACACAGTAGGTGCTCAACATACCACAAGCATCAGGCATTATGCTAAGACTTTCCATGCATTGTCTCATTTCATCCTGTGTGATTGTTACATGAGAACTACATTTGATTTTCATGTAAGAACTACAACAACCCTTTGAGATAGGCACTTTTATTATCCTCGTTTTAGAGATGAGGGAACTGAAGTACGAAGTGATGAAATAAGTCGCTTAAGCTGCAGAGCCTGGAAGTGGTAGAGCTAGAGGGGAGTGATCTGAAAGCAGGGCCTGGGTGCCCAACCACTTCATAGACGTTATTGGTGGCACGAGGACCCTTTGGTGCCAACTGCAACTGCAACTGCAGAGCTTACTGCAGCCCAAAGGATGGCACACTCGTCTGTGTGCCTGTCGGCCCGCCTCCTAGAAGGCTGTGGAGTTTCTGTCAGCTGTGTTGCAACTCACAGGTAAAGGGCTGTGGGGGTGACTCATGCTCGCTGGGCTCAGGTGGAGGCTAGGATTCAGGTGGCATGTCTGTGCTCGCTGGGTTTT